TGCATCTTTATGAAAGAAGACTGCCTCACCCCTTCCTCATGGAGCAGCTGGTGGGTTTGAATCACTGGCCTTTTGATTCGTAGCTCAACACTTAACCCACTGTGCCATCAGGCCTCCTTCAAAAATAAAAACCTCACCACCATTGAGTCTGTGACCTTATAGGACAGGATAGAGCTGCCTCTTTGGATTTCTGAGACTGTCCCTCTTTACAGGAGTAGAAAGCCTCATTTTTCTCCTGCAGAGCAGCTGGAGGTTTCAAATGATTGATCTTATGGTTAGCAACTCAATGTGTAACCACTACGCCACAGGACTCCTTAGAACTCTGCAGAGATACCAGTCGTATCTTCATTTTTCAGATGAGGAACTGGGATGACAATTAGAAGGTGGTAGAGCCTTGATTTGAACTGATTCCAAAGTTCTTACTCTTTTGACTTTATCACATGACTCAGAATAAGTAATATGACCAAATAAAACATTTAATTATTGGCAAACCTTAACGGATGAGCTCTACAGGTAAGCTAACAGGTTTTGGTAGAAAATTAATATAGAATTTCCCATTTCTGGTTATACAGAAAAGGCTAGGACATACTAGGATCCTGTTAGGGCTCTTTCTGTGTTAGGCAAGCTCAGTATACACACACCTCTTGCTTGAGCAAGCTTTGGGTAGAGAAAGTGCCAACTCTGTAAATACCCCAGTCTCATATATAGAGAACAAAAAGATATAATGAATGTGAGGGCCAAGGATGACCCTTCTGGGGAGCAGGACTTGAAAGAAAAGGATAGAAAGAATTCACTAACTGAAGACCTTGTGAGTCAGAAGTGATGATTTTTTGTGCCATCCTCAATTAAAGACTCTTAGTACATTATTGTTATTTTCTTATTAGACAAGGAGTTCTTAATTAATGAAGGCTTTAGCTTTTGGTAGTAATCTGAAAAGGTCAGCTCAAGGTAAGGTGATGGTGAACATTGGACTACTGGTCTTATGTTATTAGCCTTCCTGTAAAGTATACATATCTTTTCTTATTTCCCTCATCAACTAGAAACTTTTGACTTGCTAAAATTTCTGTGTTTGAAAATTTATTGCTACAAAATTTGGATTATAGTGTCATAATTTTACTCACCTTTCGGACCAATTTGAATTAAGAGAAGAGCATATTAAAAGAACAGGTAAGGAACTGAAAATCCAGGGAATCCAGGGCGGATGAGCCCTACAGGACCAGTGGTGTGAGTGGCGAAACAGGGAGGGTAGAGGGAGAGTGGGTCGGAAAGAGGGAACCGATTACAAGAAACTATATGTGACCTCCTCCCTGGGGGATGGACAACAGAAAAGTGGGTGAAGGGAGACGTCGAACAGGGCAAGATATGACAAAATAACAATTTATAAACTATCAAGGGCTCATGAGTGAGGGGGGAGCGGGGAGGGAGGGGAAAAATGAGGACCTGATGTTGGGGGTTTAAGTGGAGAGAAAAAGTTTTGAGAATGATGTACAAATGCGCTTTACACAATTGATGTGTGTATGGATTGCGATAACAGTTGTATGATCCCCTAATAAAATGTTAAAAAAAAAAAAAAAGAACAGGTAAAAGTTCTGCATAGGTGATTAATTACAGATAGGAGGATAAATAGATATGGTCACAATATAGGGTGTTATAAAACATTGCCGTAGTAGTTAGGCATTCTGGGTTCTGGTTCCTGCATTTGGACAAGACATTAAACTGTGGACCTTGTTTTTTAAGAGGGGGATGATGACAATGTCTATCCTACCTGGCTCACCAGGCCATTGGAGTTAATGTATATGAAAGGGCTTTGAGAACTGCCTACTGCTTTTCGTGTTGAGAGCGCTCCCGTAAACATGGTGAACACTCTTAAAACCCACCGGACTTTCTGTAAGTGTGGCAAGCACCAACCCACAAAGTGACACAGTACAAGAAGGGCAAGGGTTCTCTGTGTGCCCAGGGAAAGCGACGATATGACAGGAAGCAGAGTGGCTGGTGAGCAGACTAAGCCAATTTTCCGGAGGAAGGCTAACGCAACAAAGAAGATTGTGTTGAGGCTTGAATGTGTTGAGCCCAACTGCAGATCTAGGAGAATGTTGGTTATTAAGCGATACAAGCCTTTTGAACTGGGAAGAAATAAGAAGAGAAAGGACCAGGTGACCCAGTTCTAAGCTTCATCATGATTTATTGACAAAACAATAAAATTTTAATGTTACATACAAACAAAAAAAGAAAACTGACTACCATAAAAATATAAAAAGGTCATGTCATAATGTGACTAACTTTCTTTTTTTTAAAATTTTAATTCTTTTATTGGGGGCTCGTACAATTCTCTTCACAATCAATCTATCCATCCATTGTGTCAAGCACATATGTACACTCGCTGCCCTCATCATTCTTAAAACATTTGCCCTCCACTTCCGCCCTTAATATCAGTTGCTCATTTTCCCCCTTCCTCCCCACCTCCCCGTGACTAACTTATTTCATAGTTTAGGTTCATTTCATGCTAGAAGAGAAGCATTTGAGGGCATTTTTTAAAAACCTTTATTTAACATGGAAGATATTCATTCATCTTCCATTAAGGGGGAAAATGTATTTTCATTGTTTAGATCAGTTTAGAATGTTGGGGCATTTTGGAAGTTAATTTTGAAAGGTAAAGTTGACAATGGACAGTGAATTTCCCCAGTACATTCATGCTGTATGTAATTGCTAAGGATGCTGAACCTGTTTATCTTCTGATTTTAGACAGAGGATCCCAGTAAATGCAGTCCTCGGTTTTGGGAGGAACTCTTTCTCATGAAGGTAAGACCTGGTGGCATCTGTGCATTTCTTCTCCTGAACTTCTCGTGGGTTCTAGGTGCTGCACAAAACATGCACTAAGGTCCTTACTGTGTCCTTGGCAGGTTAACTTAGAGTACTTAGAAGGCAAGTTGGAATCTCTCGATGGTGAGGAGTTAATGAAGATCAAGGACAATATAAATTCTTTATTTCAACATTGCATCCAGGCTCTGGGAGAGGAGCATCCAATTCGAGTTGTCAATGCATTGCAGGTAAAGGCTGGGAGGCTGGGGGAGTCTTGTTTAAGGGAGTAAGGTGCTGGAACCCATGCACTGGATCTGAGGAAACTAGACTTGCCCTAGGTGTGAGCTAGCTTTCTTTTCTCTCTTCCCTTTTCCTCCCTCACCTTTTTTCTCTCCCTTCTCTTTCCTTCACTGCCTCCCTCCCTCCTCTTTCTTCTTTTCATTCTTTCATCAGATATTTATATCATGTGTTTTTAACCATTGTCCTGGTTTAAAGAAAATGTTGCTCATAGTAAGTGATAATCTTGCCGATTATCTAATTTGATCAATGCCAAGGTGGATTGTTTGATAGAATTCTTCTTCATACTTGAAGAAAGGAAGAGATAGAAAACTAAGGTGAGGATGCTTGCTCAGTCTAAAACTCTGAAGAGATTGTTAGTGTTTTCTCACTAGGTTAGGAGTGCTAACGCACAGTGTTTTATGTACACGTCACCCCCCCTTTTTTTTTTCTGGAGAGGGCTTTCATCAGATTCTCAAAAGATTTTTTAACTCAACACCGAAAACCACTGTTTGTAAGACTGAGTTGCATGACCTTGAGGAAGGTTCATTCAGCAACTATTTCTTTTTTAAAATAATAATTTTATTGGGAACTTTTAAAGCTGTTATCACAATCCATTCATACCAGCAACTACTTCTTGAATGATTGTTATGTGTCCAACATTAGGAAGGTGGTGGGGAAACGTCACAGGCTTTTTTTTTTTTAAATCATTTTATTGGGAGCTCTTACAACAATCCATACTACAGTTGTATCAGGCACATTTGTACATATGTTGCCATCATCCTTTCCAAAACATTTTTTTTCTCCTTGAGTCCTTGCTATCAGCTCCTCTTTTTTCCCTTCCCTCTCCCACCCTCCCACCATTGTGAACCCTTGATAATTTATAAATTATTTTTATTTTTATGGTTTACACCACCTACAGTTTCCCTTCACTCACGTTTCTGTTGTTCGTTCCCCTGGTGGGGTGGGGGTGGAGGAGGTTGTATGTTGGTCTTTGGATTTGGTTCCCCTTTCCTCCCCCTTCTTCCTCCACCTTCCGCATACCCTAATGATATGGCTACTCTCATTATTGGACCTGAGGGGTTTATCTGTCCTGGTTTCTGTGTGTCGAGAGCTCCTATCTGTATTAGTGTACATGCTCTGGTCTAGCTAGATTTGTAAGATAGAACTGGGATTATGATAGAGGGGGAGGAAGCATTAAAGAACTAGAGCAATGTTGTATGTTTCCTGTGTGCTATATTGCACCCTAGCTGGCTCATCTCTTCCTAGTGACCCTTCTGTGAGGGAATGTCAAGTTGTCTACAGATGGGCTTTGGGTCTCCATCCTGATCCCCCTCGTTTGCATAGCAATGGTTGGTTGTTTTGGGTCTTCTGATCCCTGATCCCTGATCCCATCGACACCTCTTCTTTCATGTGGGCTTTGTTGCTTCCCTGCTAGATGGCCGCTTATTTAACTGCAAGCCTTTAAGACCCCAGATGTTAGAGTGAACCAACCTCTAACAACCACAGGGTTCATAGGCACAATTGTACAGCTATAATATATAAAAATTATAGTAAAGTCATAGAAGATAGGAGAGAAGGTAAAACAGAGGAGTCAGGCATATTTTATGGTAGCATGCTCACCTCCTGGATGGCCATGATCTCAGCAGTCAGGTCTGCGCAGAGAGAGGGAGGAAGAGAAAATATATTTCTAACCAAGACTTATACATACTTAGGGGGTGTGCAAGGCCCCCTGATTACAGGTAACCACATACTTCACAGGAAGGAGTTGTGACATATGCAATACGAGCAATGGGAGGGGAACAACCTCGGGGTGTACACACAATAGGAATGGGAGGGATTAGGGGCACACATGTGATAAGATGGGCGGATCCTAGATTGAAGATGACAGTCTAACCTTGATCCTCCTTGAGCTGGCTTGACTTTGTCTCTGGGCTCTCCTGCAGGGAAACATTCACTATCCTTATTGGTAGGGTGTGAGCCCCACCTATGATGGGACAGACAGTAGTGTCTCATTGCTCTAGATGGCTGATGCCTTCAGGAAGAATACCTCTAAGCAGCTGACGACACAATGTGATAGCAAGCAGGTGACAACGTGGGGAAAAAACTTTCTGTATCCCACAATTCCCCCGTTTGTTTTATGTATTAAATTCAAAAGAGCTACAGGGACAATGTGGTTATTTTCTATACACTGAAAGCTGTCAAGGCAAAATTAATGACAGTGTTAATGTAGCCAAGCCAAAAAACAAGTTTATGCCAATCATTTTGAATCCAGGGTTAGAGGCTAGAGCCTCTCCCAGTCCATCCACTACTGGGGGAAGGTATGAGAAAGGCTGGATGATCGGCGGAAGAGATAGAACAAATAGGAATGAGAGAATCAACCTTGTGCTCACTTTAAGGCAGTATAGCTGGTAGGGGAGGTTCTGTGGGAATGATATTTAAAGCAGGATAATATACTTGGACTTTAACTTACCAAAGTGGTGGCTTTCCTACCATGGAATATTAGCTTTCCAGATTACTTCTGTTCTAAATTAGGGAAAAAATCCTAGTCATATTTCCCTGTGTTAGTTTCCCACACCCAGACACTATATCTTGTAATAGCTGGGCACCATCTGCTTTCTTTACCACATTAGCTTATGCACCCAAATCGTGTTAGGAAGGCTTTTAAGGGCAAAGATTTTGATCATTTCGTTTAGTACTTTATTCCTAGGGTGCCTGGTATATAGTTATTGCTCTAACAGTAAATTCTTGCTGAATGAATGTTGAACAAAGTTTCTAAAGGGTTTAATCTAGTGGGTTCAGTACAGCCTGTGTTGGGCTGAATACTTTGGTCAGTTATTGGCAAGCTTAGAATATGAAGAATCCCTGTCAGATAAAGGATTTTATTGGCATTTTTGTAGGATTTGGGTTTAAGTTTCAAAAGTAATAGTTAAACAAGTGAGGCTCAATTTTCTCCTCTATGGAATGATGAGATGCCCCAGAAAGATGACCTGTGTTTATCCTGTGGTTTTGTTGACTGTAGCCCGGTTCTGCACTGTGAGCATCACAGTTCTTGGGACTCAATGAAAGTTAGTCATTGTACTTTCGGTAATTGTAGTGGTTTACCATGGGGACATGAACTGTAAACTGTTTTTGGTTCGGTGGAAATGAGTGGGCGTGAAAACACTCCCTTGGTAAAGTATTATTATGTAAGAATATGCTCATTGCCGTGGAGTCGATGCCGACAGGGTAGATCTTCTTTTTTCAAAAAATTAATTAATTAATTTTTAAAGCATTTTATTAGGGGCTCATACAACTGTTATCGCAATCCATACACACATCAATTGTGTAAAGCGCATTTGTACATCATTCTCAAAACATTTTCTC